AGAGAAACAGAGAGAGAGAGAGACTTTCCTGGGAGATGACCCTGGAAGCGTGTGTATAGTTTTCACCTGGACTTTGCCCCTGTGCCTTTTCCCTGAGCTAATTTTGCTCTGTCTCCTTCACTGCAAAGCATCACAACTGTGAGCATGGCCTATGCTGGGCCCTGCTCGTCCCCCTAGGGAATCATCAAACCCAAAGGGGCCCTAAGGACTCCAACCCAGGCCTGATGCTGCTCTGATTCCATGCAGGGGAGCATTTCCCTTGTCCTGATGCAGCACCAGGTCCCCTGACCTGGGACACTCCCTCTACTCTTCCTTGGAGAAGGTAAAGGCAACCCAAGAAAGCTAGGCTCGGGCTTGAGCATCCGATCCTCAGCAGAACACACCGCGAACATGCAATGAACAGGGAGGTTCTCGCCTCTGAAATACGCAGCCTTTGACTTAATGGTGTTACTAGAGGGCATGACTTTTAACCACGGAGTGGGGCTTACTACACAGCAGACATTGAATGAGTTCTTTCCCCCAGCCCTGCACCTCATCCCCACCCTGTTTTATGGATTGGATTGCATTCTTCACCCCACAAAATATGTTGAAATCCTAACCCTTGTGCCTCTGAACCTGACTCTGCTTAGAACTATCGCTTTCTTTCTTTCTCTTTTTACATTTATTTTTCTTTCTTTCTTTTTTTAATGTCCGTGAACTCATACAGACAGGGGTGGGTCCTAAAACGGATCTCTCCCAAGCAGTACCTTATAAGAGGGGAAAGCCGACACAAGAGGGGAATGAGATACACATGGAAGAGGCCAGGTATGGAATCACTCATAAGCCGAAGAATACCAAGCAATACCCAGGACCACCCACGAGAAGGGACCTTCCCCTAAGGGCCATGCTTTGAATTCAGACTTTAGCTTCCAGGACTGGAAGATAATCAATGTCTGTTCCTTAAAATTGCCACTACTTGTGTGTTGTTGTTGTTGTTAGGAACTATCTAGTCACGGATAAATTCACACCAAGTAAATGTGCGTATGAGTTGATGTTGGTTGTTTCTGGCCACAGCATTTCAGAGCCCAGGCGCGGCCTCCTGCACCCTCTTCCCTTGCTGTCGGGTCAGGCAGCCCACCTGCTAGTCTGTGGGTCGACAGTGTGCCAGAGGATCATCTCACAACCCTCCTGGACTGGGCTATCTTTTCTATATGTTTTGTAACTGGATTTTCATTTTCTCTTCAACTTGAGAGAGCACCTTTACATTCTCCAAAATAAACTTTTTTTTAGTGTCAAGTTTATGCTATTGTTTATTTTCTCTCTCTCTCTTTTTTTTTTTTTTTTACAAAACACCACTTGGAAGGTATTGGTTTTAAGAGCCATTCCACTCTGGAATGACTTCACTGAAATGGAAACTGTATTTCCAAACAGAGGCTTGTGGAGGAGAAGGGGTTTTATGGTCTTAAGAGATTGAGATTTTAGTTCTCATTGACTTTTGTCACTAGCATTGATTACTACCTTCACTATTACAGCTTATAATATTATACTTGTAATTTTTTTCCTTCTGGCTAGTTGTTTACAGGGGAATCCTCTCATCTTTTTTTTTATCAGTTGGGATTTAATGCATACATTATACCATTCCAAATTTTAATCACGTCAAGTAGAATGTACGATTGCTACCACAATCTGTTTCCAAACATTCTTTTTCTACCTGGACTCCTTGAGATCGCCTCCCTTTCAACCCACCTCCACTACTATATGCCCCTCCCTCCACACCCCTTCTTCTACTTGCTATTCTCCTTTAGGCTAACATAGTTTCTGGATAGTTCCTTGATTTTCATGACCAGGACAGTTTTGAAGAGTACACTCTGTATTTAATTTTGCTAATTTAAAAAAGACACGATAATGTAATAAATAAACTAAATTCTTATTTCTAAAAGACCTTTAATAAGGATGATGATGATTTTAACTAAAAGAGAGAAATCAGTAAACCTTAAATTTGAAAATGGGCACATGCCCGTAGGTGGAAAAATAATTTTAAAATATGAGTTTAAAAATGAAAGAAAAAGTAGAAGACATGAATCAACCAATAGTCAGAGAATACTAGAAAAGGTAGAGTAAAACTTTCCGTTGCTGAAAGCACAGATATTGGTGTAAATATAAACAAACAGGTCCGTGAAACCAAAAACAGTTCAGGAATAGACTCACTCACCTACATTGACACTTGATTTACAGGGGGTGCACCAGCAAGAAAGTTAAGTCATAATGGTAACAGAAAGATTGTCTGTCACTACGGGCAAAACCAAACCTTGGCTCCTGCCTCCCAGATAGACAACAATTAATAGGAGGTAGACCTAAATGGGAAAGGTAAAACAAGGAAGATTAAGATGATAAGAGTGTTTCTTCATGACATTGTGGTGGGAGGAAGCAAAGACAAGACTAAAATACACTAAACATAAATTTAAAAAATTAATCAATTGGACTTCATTAAAAGTAAGAACTTGTTTTCATCAAAATATAATACCAAACACGTTCCTTAGAATAGCGCACATTTAAAAGGTGAACAATACCAAGTTTGGTAAAGAGTTACCTTTGCTGATGGGCATGTAAAATGGTACGATCGTTTTTTAAAAGCCGTTTCATTCAATCATTAATTAAACATGTCACATGACTCAAACATTTTACTCTTGGGCATTTACCTAAGAGAAATGAAAAACATGTCTAGGCAAAGACTTGTTCACAATGTTCAGAGAAGCTTTAATCAGCTAAGTTGACTGGTTCAAATATTAACGCAATACACATTCAAAACAGTGTGCGTGGCCACCTTCTCTGAGGGAGACACTGCTGCCTAGCTCCTTCTCACGTAAAAAGTCAACCTACTGCCATCTGTTTCCTTGACCTGACCCTTTCAGATGGTCTCCCAGCCCGGTTTTCTTCGTAGTGGCCAGAAGCCCATCGAGGGGTAAGTGGGTAAGCTCACATTGCAGTTGCTATTCGATCAGTTTCTTGGTACAGCTTGGACGTTCCCCTTCAAAATCATTGGGTTTTGATCAGCTGCTGCCTCTTCAAATGGCCGAAGGTCAAACGACTCTTCTGGACACAGCGGTTCTGTGCATCCTTTCCATCTTCACTTGAAGCTCCCTCTGTCGTCTATGATTGTGCCCACGGTGTTAGTTGTTGGGTGCCATGGGTCAGCTCTGACTCACAGTGACTCTGTGTGCAGCAGAGTGAAACACTGCCCGGCCACGTGCACCCTCACAATTGTGATGAGCCACTGTGTCGATGAAGGGAACACTTCACTATAGCCACCCACCGTGTGAATTATGTCTTCAGTTCTTTCAGCTTGAGAAATGCTGAGCACATTCTCCCCTTTGTTTCCTGACGCAGGGTCTGTGCACGGGTCATTAAAATCCTTTCTTTCTAGTCTTCTCAAACTGCCCTTTGGAATTTCCTGTTCAATTATTTTACTTCCTCACAGCTCCGATGTGTTCAATATCAATTTTCAGAGTCTCTTCTGAGACATTGACTTTGGCCTTTTCTTTCTTCCCCATCTCTTTAATGATCGTTTGCTTTCTGTGTGTATGATGCTCTTGATGTCGCCCCACAACTCAGCTGGTCTGTG